AAATCTGTCTTTTTAACAGGCTTTCCATTGTATACTGCTCCTTCCTCCAAGCAAGCCTTTGTCACATGCTGACTCTCATCAGTCACTTAAAGCTCCCATGAAACTGCACTGCAGTTCAAACATGACAAAAGTGCTCAGCTCTTTGGGATTGAGAGCTCTAAGGATCTGCAGACAAGTTCTCAGCTGAGCAACAGTTGGACAAGCATGAACTGCCAAAACCAATGTGGCTTTCATACATGGCTATGGGCAACAAAATTGCGTCTCTGTTTCAGTGTGAGCAAAACATTTGTGTGAGAACAAAAAATGAACTTCACTGTCATAAGGCAAACTGGCAGCTAGGGTTAAGGAGAATCCTCTGTTCTAAGTATACCAACTCATCACTTCTTCTGTGTCTCACATCAACATCCCATGTGCCTCTTCCTTAGCCTTGCCTGTAACCTCAGACGTGAGGATCCAGATCTGTGTCTCACCCAAATGTGTTTTGGAGAGAAATGTATATAGCTCTGCTTCTAGATAGTGTTACTTTGCTTTGATTTTGTTACCAGTTCACTTTATGCGACAAAGGTATCAATTTTAAAAAGCTTGGGGGTTACACTGAAGTTTCGCAGTGAAAAGTAAACCTGTTAAATAAGGAAATTTAAGATACTGGTCTTAGGCTTCTGAGCTTGCTTCATCATCTCAAGATTTAGAATAGTTGAAGTTTTTATCTTGGTCCAGATGCAGCTACAGTCTATCTGATGGAACATAAACACTGTGTTTTGCAGTATTTGAAGGAATTGCTGTTCCTTGTTTTGTTCAAAACAATTCCCACACAACAAAAGTAGTGTTGCCCATACTGAATAGAGGATACCAACATCTCTGGTTGAGGAAAATTGAAGTCTTATATTGCTGAGGCTCCTTAGGATAGCTTGTTTGTTCAGTAAACATATTTCACCTTCTGGTGTGCTGTGTTTTTCAGTAATGAGATGACTGAAAAAAATATAAACTTTTAAATTAACGACATTAATAATTACGAGAAATAAATTGATGTAAAGAAATAAATTGGCTTGATTGATGTATCCATTAGTAATGCCAGAGGTTATGCTCCCTTTCAGATGCTTGAAACACTATAAGCAGTGTTTTAAAAGTAGTAAAATGTATGTACCTTTTCTGCAAAAGTTTTTCAAGGCTTAAAGGTATAACCTAAGCATTTCAAATAACCCTGTGACAGGGAAAAGAATATCCCCCACCAAAATATCTCCTGACATGAATTCAGTTTTTTATTCAGTTTTACTGCAGCACTGGAAATACTGTAAGCCTTAGCCAAGTCATTGTCCTGAGTACCTTCTGCCTACCTGCAATTCTCCACAGAAGAGTCCCAGTATCTGGTTTTCAGTTGGATATAATCAACCTTACTGGAATTAAATAATAGGACCAAGAGCTTGGCATTTGTTATAAGCCACAACTAGGTCTGTCTCTGTAAATGAAATCTGGGGATAGAGGGAGGAGAAGGGAGGAGGGTTAGGGGTATTTTTTCTGATCTGACTGGACATATATAGAGCAGCATTGGTTATGACTGAAGATACAGTGACCAAAATGAGCGACTTCTGTTTTTCTAAGTAGATCACTGCCTGAGCATTGTTCAGGGCAAGGCCTCAAGCAGCACAGCACACCTGATGTCTACCTACTTAACTGGCCAGAAGCTGATGTTACCCATTTGACTTCCACAGAAGTCAATATGACTTTTTGATGCTAAGATTTATGCTGGATTAAATGGGGAATAGTCACTGGGCTGTTCTTTATGAGGTTACCACTGATCTGGTATTGAGTTAACAATTAATATGGACTAGCTCCCAAACTTTCCTCATCTAAAATTAGGAGCAAATGAAAGACCAGATTTTTTCTTAGCAGTACCAAGATGATCATCTGAGTCTGTATTTCACAGAAGGAGGCATAGCAAAATTTCTCCTTTATGTTTCTAATGGGCAAAACCTAAGGGCCTCTGAGAGGTTGCTTTATTTAGAGTCTTTCTAGATTGGCATGATATTGAGCATGCATTAAATTGTGCATACTAATTTAAAAACCAGAAAATCTTATTATATTCTAGCTCCATGTTTCCTGCCTGGCCTCTCAGAAAGCTGTGAGTAGTACAGCTCTCTGTTCTGGCTCTACAGTGGTAGTACAGCTCTCTGTTCTGGCTTTGAGCCATGTAGAGTTTTGCCTCTATAACAGGAATCCCCAGCATCCCCTTGGAAAGAATTCCAAAGGCAGAAGTGCTAAAATAAAAAAGGCAGCATCTAATTAAACCTTAAAGATTATTTACCCTTTTTTGCCAACATGAGAAATTTATACACTCATGCTATAATAATTTCCATGCTCATGCTAGCTGCCAGAGGAATATTATGTAGGGAAAGAATGAATAAATGGAATTGTAATAGAAAAACAATTGGCCTTTTTCTGCTAGGTGTATACATGTCTACTACTGCAGATGAAAAGATCCCTGAACAAGCAAGGACTGTATAACAAAGTTCTAGCTGGAAATATATAGTCTAGAAAACTACTCTATGGAAAAGAGAGGAAGGAATGAAAATACTTTCAGTAAATCAATTTAGTGATCCAGTTGATGATGTCGGCCACATCGTATTTGTGCTGAGTAAGCATTTGTATGCCACAGCATGCAACAGCATAAGAGCTAGGTAAACATTTGCATGCAGCAGCAAGTGTCATCAAAACTAGCATATCACAGAATTGGACTCTGACACAGTAGCAGAGTATGAATTAACTTTTCCAAATTTTAAGGTGGTTCATACCACTAACATAACAGCAAATTGGCTATGAGACTGCTTTGCTGTGACCTGCTTTCTTCAAGCAGAAGCAGCATGGTATTTAGGAATCTGTTTGAAATGTCACAGGGGAATATAGAGTAAGAGAGAGCAAAAGGAAATAATTTTCTTTTGAATTGAGGCATTATGTCATAAAATAATTATATTCTAATTTTTCTATATGTATCACTTAAATTTGGGTTAAAATTGAATGTCAGTATGTGTTATTTGCATTATCATTAGTTTCTTTGGTAATAGTGATTAATCTTGCTACATGTACTGATTCCAATATAGAGGAAAGAATAATTTCTCTTTGGCAACACAATAATTATGCAGTGGGGTCCATAGTTACTGGCAGCCTATTCCTGCTTAAGAAATCAGTCACTGAAGCCATCCAGAACAATTACAAAGTATATATCTTCATATATTATTACCCATTGCTGTGTCTCACAACTACAGATTTTTGTATAATAAATGTCCATTTAGGAAGAACTATATGAAGGAGATGCCCTAGAAACATTTGAAGTAGCACAACAGGCATGTGTCATTGCTCTGCTCTGAACAAGGCATTGTCAAGGGTGCCAGCTCAGTGCCCATTGCGTTCTTTGCTGGCACACAGCAACCTTTTTATTAAGAAGCAGAGTTCTTTCTGCACATACTTAAAGACCTGTGGCATCTTCTGAGGTAACAGAAGCTTACCTGTCTGCCTTCACCTGGTACTAAATAGTTAGTTTGTCTGACCAAGAACAGTTATGCTGTGCTGCAGAACTGGAAAGAATTGTCCTCAGTCTAATGAAGTTCTGCATTTCTTGGTAAGAGAAACACACAGAACAGAGCATGTTCTGTGAGCTTGACAAAGTTTTTAAAGGGAAGACCCTTTTAAACCTTAGGTATTATAGTTAAATATGGGGGGTATCCTGCTGATCAAAGGACCTTCTCTGTAGACTCTGATGTTGAGGAACACGTCTAGTGCATGCAGCTGGGTGTGTAGCTGCCGACTGAGCTCTGGCTGTCGGGAGCCCAGAGACAAGAGGCAGTGAACTTGCATAACGAAGGGCTCAGGGACCTGTGGCTCCAGGCAGGTGACACTCAGACAAGGCAGGAGCCGGTGGCCCTGGCTGCAGACTTTGGAGCGCTTTAGACAGTGAGGGCATAAAACCTCAGGGGTTCCTATTCTCCTCCTCAAGGCACCCAGCTCCATCTGTTTTTTGCTGCAAGACAGTTAAATCAGTTTAAGGAGCCGGACCTGTGAGATTGTGCTGTGAGAAAGCCGGTTCTGAGTCTGTGAGTGTGGGATGTGAGAGGAGCATCCATAAGCTCACAGGGGCCCACTGGGATGGGCCTCAGCCCAGCTCAGGTGCTGCTGCTCTAACTGCACTGCAGCTCTGGATGGGCACACGGAACTCGAGCGCTTGCACTGAGTTCACAAAGAGACTTGCTGTGTGTGACGTCCTTCTTCAGTGGCACAGATTTTGGTTGGGAAGTTCCTTGGAAGTTCATGGCTCTTCCAGAAGAGAAATGTTTAGATTACCTAATTATTTTTAGCACAGCCAAGAGAGGTAAAGTATATCACTAAGAAACTAAGATTTATGAGAACGTGCTGTAAAGTAAATTGTTCTGTCAAGCAGAGAAACAGTACAGTGAAAGAGACTAACTACACTACTGGACTTTGGTTTTGCTCAGTGTTGAATTAATTTTTACAAGGATTTTGTGTGTCAATGCTCTATATTGAATCAGCAGGCATATAATAATGAGTTTTTCTTCCATGTAAACTTAGGAAAGCTACTTAATTTCTATTCTCAGAAACAACTCTTAAGAGATCATTGTCACACCTGCTTTGTTCTAACTGCCCCTAGAATGTTTGGTGTCTTTTTTGCCACATTTGTTTGTTGTTCTACAGTTTTTTCACAAAGGTTACCCAATAGGTCAAAGGATTAAGAACATTAATTGATTTCTGTAATAGTGAAGGGAAATTTTTGTAGCTTTGAAAGGAAAATATAAATATTTTACAGAATAGAATCCTATTAGCATCTGTATTTTAGTTCATTACGTTGTTTTTAAATAACTTCGAACGTTTTAGCATGGCATTGTTTTTAGTTGAGGAGTGGCTTATTAAGTGGATTAATATTTAGACATCTTTCTTTGTTGTGTCCCAATATACTCGAGCTTATTTTGTTATTTTTCTTTTGGCTACTTCAGGTATGAATACAAGCAAGAGTGAGACAGTGAAAGAGCATCCATTAAAACCTTCTAGAAGATCTATGCCATGCCTTGCCCAGAGCCAAACACATCCTCAGAGCCTGAGCAAGCATTCTTCATTTCTGCAGCAAAACTGTGTGCAGCCACAGCTCCAGCCCCAGCCCTTGAGTGCAGGGACATCAGCAGCTGCAGTGGATGTAGTGTCAGAACGAGGTAGGAGGATTTTTTTTTTCAGGAGAGAAAAAATTTTCTCTTTCTTCCATTCTAGCTCTAATAAACTTTGATTTATTTAGATGACAACATTTTGTTGAAGAAATGGTTTTGCACCAAACACCTTCACATAACATATTATCAGGCTCTTGAGTGAATCTTTATAATGTTTGAAGTGAGTTTTAAATTAATTTTTTTTCTCAATGATGACGTTATTTCCTTCTCACTGGTATTAAGACAAGCAAGTCTTGCTCATTTATGCTGGAGAAAGGTATGAAGGTTTCTGTAGTCTGTCCTAGAGGAGAAAGAAAGAATAAATATAAGGCTTTAGGCAAAAAAATCTCTATATATGAACATGTAGGAGGAGATGCATTCATTCACAAACAGTAGAATCCGGGAAGAGTGGTATGGAAAGAATGAGAATGAACAGAGAAAATCCCTCCAAATTTTAACTCATGTGGAATAAGGAACTACTTTTATTTTAGGATTTCTAATTTAACAGATACACATGCCTTATCAGAGAAGCTAGTATAGTTGGAATCCTGTTGTACTATTACACGAAATAACTCACGCATTCACTCAAGATGTAAAACAAGGAAAAGAGGAAGTTTTATTTCTGTCCTTTCAATATATAGAATTCTAAAATGACAGTGGGTTGGAGGGTGAAATTTTCACCTCTCCAACCACACTGGTCAAATTAACAGTCTATCAATTCTCTCTTCCTACAAAGAAGAATGTAAAACAATCATTATTTACATGAACAGTGCATGAGAATTCCAGTAGAAATATGTAAACATAAGAAGGTATAGAAAACTTCTTTTAAAAGAACTTTACAACTTATAAAAGAACAGGACAACAGAATCCAAACCACCTGTGTCACCTGTTGCCAATTCTTGCCATCCTCTATTGCTAGATGTGTGTGATCCTTTGTAGAATAAATTAACTCATCTGGTAGTAGATTTTGATAAGTCTTTCCTTAATGTTGATAGGCACTAGGCACTAATTATTGTTTTAGTGAGTTATTTTATTGAGTTAAACGTTTCTCAGAAATAGGCAGAATCTTTGTTAAAGTGATCTTGCTCTTTTTTCTATTGATTGAAAGTGCTCTTCAAAATTTTAATCTAAAATTTTTTGAGTTACTGACAGCTTTAAAAACTTTTACGGTAAAGATTATTTTACTTACAAAATACATGTGAATGCTGATACAGATATTGCATTTATTTCAGCTAAAGTGATGGAGACTTTGGAAAACAACTTGCTTAAGCTGTCTAATACAGAATATGGTGATCCATTTTTAGGTAAGTTGTTGTCTGAACTGAAATAATGACAAATTAATGATTCTTTGATTATGCTCGCAATATTTAAGTGTGGAAAGGCCGTACTTACCCTTAACTTCCATTTTTTTGAAAGAGGAGACTAGGTACGACTAAAGAAATGTATGCTGTCATGAATTTCCTGATAATGTCTCACCTTTTAGATTAGAAGTAGGGACTGAATACAGAGAAGTGTCATATATTCAGTGTATCCTTTTCCCATAACAGTCCTTCATAAAACAATAATTTTGAACAATGTACTTGAAATTCCTTTAAAGTTGTTATTATTAATTTATTTTTCCCATGTAGTCATGTCATTCACTATTATCGTGGCTGCAGTTCTATTGTTGGGGGTTTTTTTAGATATTTTATATATTTGCTTTAGATATTTATATATAAAAACTGTTAAAATTTGGGAAGCAAAAAAAAAAAGTAGTAATGGAGAAAACAGCCATATGTTTACTGGTTTGCTATCATTTTGCTATTGTAATTAAATCAGAAAAAGTAGGAAAGAAGTTATTCTTAGAATAATCCTATCCTTGTAACTGCAAATCAAATCTCTAATACTACATGGGTAGTAATTGACAAGTTCCAAGATGAAGTAGTTGCCATCTATTTTACCCATACACATACAAAAATATTGCTGCACCTTGCACAATTACTGTGAAAGATATTTTTGCTCACAGTTGATGAAGCATCAAACTAGAACTCATATCTTCATGCTGGATGAAAGATATCTGCTTTCAGAAAGCTAGGTCTGCTCACCTCTCACATAATTTAGCATTGATTTTTCTTGATGCCTAAAATATATGATAGATAAGAGGGCTTCTCAAGGTTTCCTGAGTAGGTAACTACTGGAAATAGTAAAATGGATGATACTTCAAAACCAGATATTCCAAAATCATGGCACAGACCAAAAATTTGGCATGAAGATTATATAAGAAAATCATGTCTTAGTAAGGTTCCAGTTAAAAGCTGCTGCACTTTCCTAGTGTAATTGATTGGCAAGCATGGATACTAGAAGATTTTACTGTTGTAATTTCCTTATTTTCTTTTCTTGTTAATATCCTGCTCTATTTTTCACTGAATTGCTTACACATAGACATGCTGATATTGTTATGTATTTATATATGTCAGCAGTAATTCTTTCTCATAGTAGATTATGCTGGTTTTCATTCCATTACTTAGTTTTAACCTGAAAAGATACATGGAGGGCTCAACAACTCAGGAAAAGATAGATTGATTCTTTTCAGTTCAAAGTTGTTTTAAATTCTAGTGTGGATGTTTCTTCTCTTTTGACTACAGCTATGCTCGTGTAAGAAAAAGTATTTAAATAGTTGCCCTTTACTAACTTGAGTAATGAATATGCCCATGTTAAGTCCATCCCAAATTAGATAAGTGAAATCTGTGAAGCTATTCCCAGTTATAGAAGTTATAGCAGTGTAACTGATTAGGTTATTCAATTACAAGCAAGAAAGAAAACAGTATTTAAAAATAAGTGCCATAGGTAAATAATAAGAATTGGCTTATTTTAATATCGGCACTATCTGTTAGATGCGGGAAGAGAATAAGAGACAGTTAAAAGGTGCATGTAACAAAATGGCTTATATACCTTCAACATACAGTTTGTTGGTCCTTTAGTATTGTGTTTCTGTGCGTAAGAATTTGTCTCCAAGTCTAAAATTTTCAATTTCATCCTGAATATGGATGTAGATGGGAAGGGGGAGTAAAAAATAAACCTGAAAAAAGAATATTGCATCTTCAGCTTTGATCATCAGATAGGTTAAAATAATGCTTTTATGGGTACTCTGGCAGTTTAATGGAGTTTGAAAAGTAGGCTGATTAATGGGTATCATCATCTTAGTGAACATTTTCAAACTGCTCCCCTGAGAATATGAAAGAAAGCTGAATTAAGTGAATGTGGTGAATTTTTAATTAGGCAGTGTTGTAGAAATGTAGGTCAAATGGCTTTCTCCTCTTGCATTGTTTGTAGACAAAATTATCTTGTATGAAGGAGATTAACAGGCATAAAATAAAGGACTTCAGTGGAAAGCTTCTCTTATTTCTGTTGGCTATAGCTGAGGCCATAAATCTGTGGGACAAGCTTAGTTAATGATGTTAATGGATTTATGAAGTAAAAAGACAACGTATTATGTCTTTGTTAATTACCCATAGATAAATGGCATCAAGGACGTTATGGATTTGTGTTATTTTTCCTCTGTCAGTTTCAGGTGTTAAGCAGTGTTTTTAGTTTGAGGAAGTGGCACATTCAATCCAAGTGGTAAATATTGAGCTTCTGTAACATACTTAGTGAAATTTGAGTTTCAGGCATAATGAAATACCCTTCTTTCTAACTTACTCCCCTCCCACCTTTGGTGGGAGACACAGGAGGTGGAGATTACTAGCTTGAAATAAGAACAAAAGTAATACTCAGTAGCAAGTAAAACATCACTAACTAACTTATTATTTTTTCAATTCTGTTTTTTTCCCCTTAACTTAGATTAGTTTTGAGGATTTGTGCGTAATAACTCATGTTTCTTAGCAGGACACGAAAGCCTTCCTAGATAATTAACCATTTTGCTGTGACAGATACTTTGTATTCTGGATGTATCCTGAATCCAATTACTACAGAGTTTATATATAAAAAAATATGTATTTATGTGCTATGCTGTAATACAGTGAAGTGATAAATGAAGAGCTGAACCACAACTAACAATCCAACAAAGAATCATAATAACTGCGTGATAAAAATTATTTTTCAATGCTCAAGTATTGAAGTGCTTGTAAGTCAATTTTCTGACGTTATGATAATTTGAAATGGGCATATATGTATAACATGTGCAATACCTATCATGTTTATATAAAAAGAGGGACTGAAATATCACAGAAGATATGATTCAAGGAAAACAATTTCAATTTCTGCTGCAACAGAAATGTGATGTTTCCATTATGCCTTCTAGAATAATTTTATCCTAAGTTTTTGGTCAGTGCCTACATAAATAAGGGCTGTAATGTCTGTTCTGGTTGTGTAGTGAGGTGGCTGAAAAGCTGCATGAGAACAGTTTGTCCTATACCCAGAGTTGTCCAGCTCCCATATTAGAGCTGATCCACTCATGGAGAGCTGGCAGGATGGATGAAGAAGCTATGTAATCTATTCAGTGCTCGTGGGAACATAACAAGGATCAGTCTTTGGACTTAGTATTGCAGTTGAAAATATTGATGTATTTCACGCAATTTATCTGCCACTTCCAGTTCTGTACACCATCTTAACTTCTCTAAAGAGCAATTACATATGACTGGGTCCCTTTTTTAAAAAATAGAAATATTCTGTGTAACAGTTACTACTGTCTGAAAGTTCATAAGAAATTGTACATTGAGAAAAGTCTGTGTTTGTCCGTTATGTAGGCACACAGTTTGATGTGATTGGGAGTGGGGCTGTGGCGGATCCCCAGTGGATGCAGCTGCGCAGGACAGGTGAGCAGTGCTGAAGGTAACGAGCCATGGAGTGCCCAGGTGTGCTGAGCAACCACACAGGGACCAGAGGGCATATAGGTGCAGTGCATCAGCATGAGGGGATAAAAGGTTGCACTGAAGAGCAATAAGCAGCAGATGCTTGAAGTATTCTTTGGTGTAGGTTGTGGCTTCACTGTCATTCTGGTAGTTATGATGGTTTTTCATATCTAAACATGCATACACATGTAGGTGAAAGCCTTTCTATGTTATCTGTGTAATATAGTGTTCCAGGTGCCCAACAAAACAAAATAAGACCTAAATCCATCACAATGTCATTTATCTAGGTGTCTAGTGATGTTCTCCTCCCAAGTTACTTGCTTTTACTGATTCAAATTAAGACAAAAGGAGATATTTTACTTGACTAATAATCTCTTTCTTACTAAAGCTTTGCAAAGCCTATCCTTAAATGTGTAAAGGCTCAAAGGATTGAGTAGAGTCATCATATCAAAGTTTGTGAAACAGAAACTATTTAGGAATATTTATATACGTTTCTTTTCCCATAACTATGCCACATTTCAGTTGAAAAACTTTTTCTACCCTACACTACTGTATATAGATAAAATATACTGCTGGATTGCATGTTACAGAGAAATCAGAACAAGTGCTTTTTATCCCCTGTCATAAAATTGAAATGCACTTTTGCCCCTTCAGGAAAGTATGTTAGCAAGAAAGATAGCCAAGCAGATAGAGACCCAAAAAGAAAGTTTCAAAATGTAGACCTAGCTATCTATTTCTAAACTAAATACTTCTGCATTATTGTGTAAAGGATTTCCTGAAATGAAATTTTCTTCAATGTTTTATCATGTAAGTGACCTTATAATGTAAGTATATATAGCATGTATAACCCCCCCATTGTTGGGGGTTAGGTTTCTTTCCTTTTGTTCCTTTTTACTTATAGATTTTTTTCCCCATAAGTTGCTGGGACATATTAACAACTGGGTTCTTATGAAAACAAAAGAAGTGCCCAAGCCTCAGGGGAGGAGGGCATCTGGTTGCCCTTCTCTTATCCGACTCTTGGCGGGGAAGATAGGCAGGAGCTGGGCAGGTAAACGGCGGGCTGGGGCAGCAGCTGGGGAAGGGAATTCGCTGCTCCTGAGCCCAGCCCAGAGCTGCTTCTCCTGCCCTGGGGTGAGCCTCTGCTTGTGAGAGCAGCCCCTGAACATAATCCTTTAAATGTAAGACTTTGTAAAAAGATTGATGTTTAAGTCTTTCTCCTGTTAATAGCTCACATAAAGGGGTACATCAAGTAAAGGTCATGAACATTTTGTTTGCACTGGTGGGACTGTTTTACCTGAGCAGCTGTGTTGGGTCTGTGTGGTCAGTGTGTGGTTGGCGGAGCTGCAGGGGTGGCTTTTCTGAGAAGCTGCTGGAAGCTGCCCCTGTGCCTGGTGGAGCCAGTGGTAGCAGGCTCCAGGACAGACAGACCTACTGCCTGGCAAGGCTGACCTCATCAGTGACAGGGAAAGCACCTCTGGAATAATAGATTTGAGAAGGGAGAAAAAAATACACAAGGGCAACTTCAACTGGAACAAGAGATTGTCTTGCAGCCTATGGTAAAGACCTTGGTGAGGCAGGCTGCACCCCTGGAGCCCACGGAGGTCCATGGTGGGGCAGGGATCATCAGCTTACAGCCTCAAGGGGTTTAAGTGTTAAATAATGATCCCCTTTTTACTGTATTAATAAGAGTGCTTTTATGTATAAAAGAAGTCATCAGCTGCTGAAAGAAACAATAGGAAGTATCTTTGAATTTTAGAAAAGGTTTCTTTAGTGTTATAAATTTCCTTAATTTCAAGGGTTGTTTTGGGTTTTTGTTTTGCTAAAACAAATTTTGACTACATATCCAGCAAAAGGACAGACACATCAAGGTGAAGGGTTTTTTTTACAGAAGGGAGATGCTGCAATTTGAAATACGTGTCCTTGAAAGCATAAAAATGTTTAGCAGATAAAGTGTGTTGAGCACAGAGGGAAAACTTATTCATAACTTCAAATAATTTAAATTTTTAAAGCTGCAAAAGTTTTTTGGTTTTTAGTACTGGGTGTACTCATAATGTCCAATCCTGTAAAATGCCCCTTGTAGAAATAGACTTAATGTAAATATAGTCTTTCAGCTTAAATGGCCTAGTTATTTTTCATAGGCCTGTCTCTTCATTTTACTGGTTCCTAAAACTAAGAGCTCATCAAACCTAGTCATAAGTGAAATCCGCATAGTTGCTAAGTACCATATACCTACCTGAAGCCTTCTTTTAACTATATTCATTTTGGTTGAGCAGAGAGTAAGTTGTATATTCAGTTAAAACATTGTTTAAAATAAATAAAACTCCTGAGTTAAGCACATTGACAATTAAAACGAGCTGTTTTGTTCGTTAAGAAATCCCACCACAGATTTGCCATTGTTAAAATCAATGTTAAAAAATTATCAAGGGAATGTTTTGTATAATCATTATGTAGTAACTAAATTAAAGAAGAAACAGTGCTCAGTAAATGTTCTGGTTTTTAATATTCCATCTAAAAAATATGAAATTTTTAGGGTGCATGAGATAATTGTAGCTTTTTTTTTTTTTTTTTTAATTTCTGTAGTACTTAGTGTAGAGAATTTAACTGAACAACTTAATGAAAAATATTTAAATGTTGCAAATGAACTTTTATGAATTTAAAATCCATTAATTTCAAGATTGTGGTTTCCACGGCAACCACAACTTTTTTCTTGGCTTCTATTTAGGGTTTCGAATTACTGAGCTAAATGCTGTTCCTAGTCCACCTGACTTTTCCCATGTTGATTTGAAAGCTGAGATGGGAACTTGACTCAGGATTTGTGGGTAAATTTTTTGCCTGAAATGTATTTCTTTTTCCAATTTGTCCTAGATAAAATTGTATGGAAATGATTATTCCATCTTTTTAATCATTAACTTATTTTTTCAAGACTAGCCATTTTCCAACGTTTGTTAAAACTTTACAGTCCAACACTGCACAGGCATTGCCCTTCATTTTATTCCTTCTGGGTGTATATAGAGAGAATTATCATTGATGGACAATATGGGTAATCTTTGAGGGAGGTCCTCAGTTTCCTGCAGCTCTCTTAGGATACTCAGCTGAGTTTTCATAAAAACTTCAGCTGAGCAATTAAAACTAGATCCAGTGACAAAGTGAATGCTTCTTCCATGAAGGCCACCTACCTCCTACCACCATCAGGTAGTCCTATTAAAATGTGTTCTGAAGCACTTACTGCAATATCTTAACGTGCAAATATTCAAATGATATATCTGCATGTGTGTAGGGGAACTGGGCATTTCAGTTCCTTGTTTAGATTTAAAACATGAGATGCTATATTGGTCTGCAGGCTGTGCCACCTGTTTGGTGAAACATCCTGAGCCTCAACATCTGTGAGTCAAGCAGTTGAATATTCATATTACTTAGTTTGTTTTTTAAAACTACTGTAAAGGAGGTTATGGGGTCTTTATTTGAATGCTAATTATAAAACATTTCTATTGATCTTCTACTAAAAATAGCAGTCACTTCTAATTTAAGATAAACATTGTAACATTTCAAGTATAAATCTTTAACAGGAAAAGAAATATGTTATTAACAAGTGTGTGCATAAAATGAATATTCAACTGTGGCTATAATAATGCTGTTTGTGTCTATCCATTATAATCTAAAATGAGCCCATTGTTTTCTTCTGGTTTTCCTTTAGATGTAGGAAAGAACAAAGATACATATACAGATGATTCAGAACACGGGAATTATGATGCTCGTACAGATCAGTCATTGCTTATTCAAAATAAGCTCATCAGGCAGAAAACAGAACCTCGAACTAAGTCATCTTTAAAGGTAATGGACACAAAATTCTATTAAATTTTATAACTGTCAGAATGTGCTTAAATATTTTTGAAATGCAAATTTTAAAGTACTACATATGTTGCAGCCTAAGTAAATGGGCATCTCATGGTAAGAAATTAGGTGGTTCCCAAATTGTTGGAAATGATAAAACTTCTAAAATAATTTTAGTTACTGGTTTAAAATAACTTTAATTTTTTAAATTAGTGATAAGCAGTGTGTTAAATCTTAAATCACTTTTAGTTAATATTTAGCAAAGTTGTCATGAGCTGCTATTGTGGGAACACAACTGCACAAAATTACTAAAATTAGTTTTGTTAAATTGAAATTAGTTTTCTTAAACTAAACTTGATATGCTTCAATGAAGAAAGCCCGGGAGAAAACAGATGTATTGTTGAAACTGGACAGGAGTGCAGAATTTTTGGATCACAAGGTCATTTTGCAGAAACCAGAACAAGTATGTGTGCTGGAGGAAAGAGATACTTAAAATATTAAAAATATGCACTAGTTAGGATGTGCAAAGAGAACTAAATATGCAATAGAGGATAGAATATTAGTTAACAAAAGATAATGTTGTAATTTAGATCTAATGAACACAAATTCCTTTGCTAAAAAATGTATAAATAAGTTAAAAACTTTTGTATCAATTTTTATTTGGAGGCTGGAATTTTGTTGGCCACACACCTCCTCACCAAGAATAAAGCAATATATATCTTATTGCTTTAATATCTATGCTTGCTAACACTAAGAAGACAGTGTTAGAGCATTTTATTAATCCTGATTATTTTGGAGGGTGTTACTAACAATATTATAGTTTGAGTGACAGAATTAGTGAATGGAATTCTCTCTATTAAAATAAAGCAAAATTATATAAAATCAAGGATTCTTATATGCTTTATTGACTCAGCTAAGAGGCAGTGGCCTTCTTTCAATAAATTTATATTGCACAGAATATAGGATATAGGATTTTGGGTGTGCAGTGGAATTCATGTTGTCTGAGAGGCCTCAGAAATTCTGAGAGTGTAGAACTATGTTCATGTAGCAAATGGTCAGTCAAGAGTGATCTAGATAGAGTATAAGATCCTTCTTCTAAGCAGTATAAAAATGATATCTAGACACATTGAAAGGTAAAGCTCATGTGTAGGTGAGTGTAGGAGTATTTTCAGGAATCTAAAGCACTGGAAAAGCCATCTCATCTCACCAGATAAATCTGGCATGCTATTTTGCTTAGTAATTACATAATTATACTATTTATCACAATGCATTTTCTTCAGCAGTTAATCTACTATAATGTCAAAGAATTATGATGGATTTTCTGTTCCAAAAATGTATCCTTTTTTAGGAGACCCTTAATTCTCCTTTCCATTGAGCATAACTGCTTGCATACATATGACAAATGACTTAAACTCAAGAATTTCTGAATAATTTTCTTCTTCGCACATTGGAAACAGCGAAATCTGGGGCACAGGTTTTTTTTACTGTAGGCATCAGTAATCTTGTATTACAAATCTGGTAGTGCTTGAATTACTCTAAGCTTCTGTGCTGTACTCACAGCACGTATGCTGTTCTCTTCAGGAGACCATTGTAGAGTTGTTCCATGGATTGTACTTGTGGCGCTTTGTGATTTTGGTATTGAATGCATACTTCGTGAGTCCTATAACATCTCTAATGCTTGTCACACTCATCATCATTACTGCAGTGCTCTGGAACACAGGTAGACCTCTGAGGCTTTATTTCATATGATGCTTTTGGAAAAAAAAAAATATAGTAGTAGCTATCTAATAATTTTTAAATAGGCTTACAGGAAATTGTATTTACAAACTGGAAATCTTTGACATGAAAATAAAACTTCAGGTATGACATATATGATATATATATGTCATATATATAACCTTTCTTGGGTTACATATTAATCTAAACTGTTGCAATGAGAACTTCTTGTATTCAAAGATTTTTTTGTCTGTTTCTGCAAGACTAGCTGAACAAAGGCAGATAATAATGGATATTCTTGTTCGATTTTGTTGACCAAGTAGACAAAACCTTTTATGTTAGTTGTGGCCGAAAAGGCAGAAAACCATTGTGACGTCTGTAGAATTTAGATCATGTTACTGAGCACTAAATAGTTTTAATAACAGGTAAGGCTCTGCCAAAACTATCTAGTAACAGATGCTATACTGTCTGTCTAGTAACAGGGATTTCACTACACTAAAGCAAAATACTTTTTTTGTATTTCCATGTGAATTATAAAATAACCACTAGTTGTATTTTTCCAAGCCCTGCATTGAGGATGTTTATGAAGTTCATAGCCAGTAAGTTAACTTTCTTTCAAAGTTTAAAGAGGAGTTTTATATTTGTATTAAGTTGAAACAAAAATACGCCTTTTATGTCTCAGTCTTTGTATGTACTGACCTACTGAACAAATTGGTTCAGAGTTTAAAAACAGTCTTCTGAAGGTGCATCTGGCTTTTAACTTTGACAATTCCTTTTATCACAGCAACTACTCTTGAAACTTCGTTCTGCATTTAGAAGGACTGTTTTTGCAATTGAGGTGTCTTGGTTTAACCCCAGCTGGGTTAAACGCAAAATTCAAAACACAGCATTGTGCCAGTTACTGTGAAGAAAATGAACCCTATCCCAGCCAAAGCTAGCACCTGAAACAACCAAGCAGGATTCTCCTTCCCTTTGTCTTTGCCTGCTTCCACAGGAAAAAGGCAAGGGGAATTTAGATTAATCTTATGTTAGAAAGGACTGTTTTGCCTTTGGATTATTATAGAAGTCTTTGTGGCAATTAGCTTTAAAATCCTTAGGGAAATTTCTTCCCAAAATTGACATAAAGCTAGCAAAAGAAGGCTTCTAATTCTTTCTGAGACTGCTGAAAACACGGAATACTGTAATGCAGCTTTACAGCTGGTAAGTACTCTCACATATTTGAAGTGTAAACTGATCTGTCACAATAAAAAGTCTCCTCAGTCTGACCAGATAATGAGAAACACTGCTTTGAGCAGGAGTAAAAATATAAAGTCATATTCTTCTTCTTTTTAATGTTTCTAATTTTTGCCTGTTTTGGAAGGGTTGTTGTATAGTTGAGACACTCAGGGGAAAATTACTAAAAACTTTGTTTGCACTTACTTTGTGGTGCCATTGTCTTTCTCAGCAATAAACTGCTGAAATACTTCAGCAGTAATGAACATGTCTTGCTGACATGATCAAAGCCAATACACTTTTCTTTTCAGGAATTGTTTAATTTTTCAGATTACATGCATGATACCTCCATAAATCTGATTCCTGTTGTTACATTTTAAAGCTTCGAAAAGTCAGATAATTTTCTTATAGCAATCAGATGCCAGTGTATTCATCTACTTTTCTTGGTTCCATGATTATGATTTATAAGTGATAATTTCCTGTAGTGTGGGTTGGTATCATTTCAGAACCCACAGATTTCATACTGAAAAATTGGAAGTCACTCAGACCCATGAAAAAGCTGTTATCATTATCCATCTCTGTCAACATTCCATCACCAGCTGCTCTTGAAATTGCACAGAAAGTAATACTTTATGTATGTAATTCTGCTGACGGGTCTCACAAGGAAGAATGAGGGTAACAAGTGTCTGTTGAGCAAAAATGAGTAGTATCTGCTTTGCAAGAGAAATGTAGAAAACGAGAAGGTCCCTGGGTGGAAGGTTGATCCTTGAAATATTCTAGTTTCCTTAGGAAAGAGAAGCAGGCTTAAACAGACTTTATCACTTGAGTGTAAGGCAACGTTTTCCCAGAGAAGTGGCAAAATCAGTAGCAGGCAATTCTTTACCTATTGCTATTGCATGTATAGCAGCAAGATAGGAATATTGGAGAAATTGCTGTTCCATTTCCTTCCATTCACTACATCACTGTTACTCTCTTTGATCCTGTAAATTTTTTATCTAGGTAGTGCATTTTTCTGGGAAAGTAAAGAAAGGATTTTTAGAAAGTTTGCATTATTATCACAGTGGATTCAAGAACAATAAAGAAATGCTACCTATACAACAACCTAATTTACTGCCTTTTTCTGGTAGTCCAAAAATGCAGTCTAAGAGATAAAATCATTATCCCAGAATGGAAGGATGTGGTAAAGTGCAACAAAACTTGACTTCATGCTTGTGCTTTTAGTGCTTGGCTCTCATCTGCTGTGAGATTTTGTTCAAAAAAAAAAAGCCAAAAAAACCTCAGAAAATATTTCAGGAAATGCAGGGTAAGTAGCAAGTAATTTTGATGTAAAGATAAAAATGTTTGAAAAGAACCATGTAAAGAAAAATTTTCAGCGGTCATGTTTGTATGCTTCTTAAGACCTCCCGATTAGACCTCAAGAGCCAATAGAAGAGGTTAAATATTAAAAAGCCTCCTCCTGTCTCCAAACATCCTCCATTGCTGCTCCCTCATATGGTAATATTGAACAGATTTCCTTTAAAAATTTTGCATATCACCTAACCCACTCCTTTCCTGAAGCCAAATATGCTTTTCATAATATATACAAATGCATTTTTCATGCTTGCTCTATGAATCTGAGTAGAATATAAATGGAAAATGTATCCTCTGTGAAGAAGCTAAAATAATTGCTAATCCTTTAGTTTACTCCTAAAAGGTTAAACTGCGTTTTAATTAGGAAGGTCAGATATTTCTGGAAGTCTTTGTCTCCACAGAAAAATGCTTTGTTCTGCACAGCAGTGTAGTCTCACAGAAATGTGATAGTGTGGGTAATTATGGCAGCCTGACATGTTGTCTTTGATGCCCAAGATAGTTTGGATGTCTTTGCATATGCAAATATGTCCTCAATTTTCTTTCCTAGGTTATTTTCACAAGACGAATGCTAAACCAATACACACTTAAAATCACCAATCTATTTTTGAAATTAAGTATTTGAAGGGATGATTCTAGTAAATCTGTTTATGGTTTATCCATTCCTGCAAACACAAAATTATGAAGTCTAACTTAGATGTGTGCTTAGAAAATTTCACATACAG